ATCCCCTCCTCACCTCCCGCACCCCCTGCTCCCCCCTGCCCCTCGCTCGGGACCCCCTCGGCAGCCCCGGCCCGGGACCCGGCACGGGCCCCCCTCTCCAGAGCACGATTTAAAATCATAAAAATGCTGATAATGCATTATTATAATAATATCAACAGGAATAATAATTACTAGGGATACTAGAAATAATAGTAACAATAGTGATAATGGTGGTAATGCTAATTATCATAATGTTAATAGTGATAATGACAATAATATCATAATTATGGTATATTCAAATAATAATAATAATAATAATAATAATAATAATAATAATAATAATAATAATAATAATAATAATGTTATTAAAATAATACTAACAACAATAATAATAATAATAATGATGATGATAATGATAATAATTATAATGATAATAATGATTATGATGATAATGATAATGATAATGATAATGATAATAATAATGATAATAATGATAATAATAATGATAATGATAATGATGATGATAATGATAATAATATAATAATAATAATAATGATAATAATGATAATAATGATAATGATAATGATGATGATAATGATAATAATAATAATAATATAATAATAATAATAATAATAATAATAATAATAATAATAATAATAATAATAATAATGTTGCATTTAAATTAAAGGATCCACATGGATAAAATAAAATCTCCCTCCTTCCCAGTGGATAAGTGGGAATGAGAGCCCCAGGTGGGATTTAAGGGTTCTCTCACTTCTTCCTGCTTTAACCCAAGGCCACGGGGGTGGAAGGAGCTGCTTCACAGCTTCGTATTTTCCCTGATTTTCTATTTAGGGATCATTGCTCCACACAGCAATGTAACTTCCACGCTCTTTATGTTCTTGCTCCTTTTTTTTTTGATTTTTCCACCCAGAATATACGGTGCAGGTTCTGTTTGTGGACTGCTTTAATAGCAAAGTGCCTGAGACAAAGTTTACTCAATAAACTTGCTTTTCCCCTTGAGCAGCTTTAGCTTAGATAAACGAGCTTTAAAGTCCTGGTCTAGCGTGGGACTGGGAGTGTTTACCATTCATCATTGTTAGTTAATTGCTGTTTGCTTAAATATTTAGTTTGGATTAAGTTCTTTTATGCCCTTTTCTCAAAAAATAATAAATAAAGGTGTGTTTAGCCATGTGGTAAAAGGCTTTTTAGAAGGCTTTTTAAAGACACTGCAGGGGGGGAGCTCCATAAAGATCTTTTTTTATATTGTGCATTTAAATTTTCTTATTTTTAGTGTGTTGTTATATTTGTAATTAGCCAGGCTGAGGCAGCAAGGACATTTCTGCTTTCTGTAGAGGCTGCAGACAGGTTTATTCCTTATTTTAAAGAGGAAAACCCATTAAATCATGGAATATCCTGAGCTGGAAAGGCCCCACGGGACCATCAGAGCTCATGAACCATTTTTGGTTCAAACTGCTCCTTTCCACAGCAGCACTGACCCCAGGGTCACCTAAACCAGGGTTTAATTTTGGAACTTCAATATTTCCCGGGTTAGGTTTCCTCTGTCTGCTCTCACTCAGGGCCTGGATGGCAAAACTCTTCTCAGCCCCGTTATCAGTCATTAAAAACTCAGAAATAAGAATAAAAAAACCCCAAGAAAATAAGAATAAATTATCAAAAAAACAAGAATAAAATATCCAAAAAAATGCAAGAAAATAAGAATAAATTATCCAAAAAAAGAAAAAAAAATTATCAAAAAACTGTCGAGAAAATAGGAATAAATTATCCAAAAAAAACCCCAAGAAAATAAGAATAAAATAGGAATAAATTATCCAAAAAACCCCAAGAAACTAAGAATAAATTATCCAAAAAACCAAGAATAAATTATCAAAAAAAATCCAAGAAAATAAGAATAAATTATCCAAAAAACCAAGAATAAATTATCAAAAAAAACCCAAGAAAATAAGAATAAATTATCCAAAAAAAACCCAAGAAAATAGGAATAAATTATCCAAAAAAATAAGAATAAATGAATCCAAAAAACCCGAGAAAATAAGAATAAATTATCCAAAAATCCCCCAAGAAAATAAGAATAAATTATCCAAAAATCCCCCAAGAAAATAAGAATAAATTATCCAAAAACCCAAGAAAATCAGAATAAATTATTAAATGTCCTGTGCTGTGTTCCTGGTCCATTTAATGCCTGTTTTGGGCTCTCTCTGTGTCTCAGCACGGCTCTGTCAGGCTGGGGCCGGGGTTTATAAGTGGTTTTCACCTGGACCCTGCACAGGGAGCACCAGAGGCTGCTCCTTTTTGCTGTCCCCTGCACGGTGAAGGTGCCACAGGTGGCTCCTGGCAGGGGACAGAAGCTCTGCTGCCAAGGGCAGAGCTGGGTTTTCACCTTCTCTCCTTCAGCCTCCACTGCTCTGCTCCAAAACCAGCAGAGAATTCAGCAACAGGAGGAAAATTGTGTTCAAAGTGCTTGGAAGGAAGGAGTTTCCATGGAGATGGGGAGCTGGGTGCGTTGATTTCGGGTTATTAGGAGGCAGCAGGTCCTTCCCAAACCACCCTGAGTGGTCTCCATCTTCTTCTCCTTCTCCTTCTCCATCTTCTTCTCCATCTTCTTCTCCTTCTCCATCTTCTTCTCCTTCTCCTTCTTCTTCTCCTTCTCCTTCTCCTTCTCCTTCTCCTTCTCCTTCTCCTTCTCCTTCTCCTTCTCCTTCTCCTTCTCCTTCTCCTTCTCCTTCTCCTTCTCCTTCTCCTTCTCCTTCTCCTTCTCCTTCTCCTTCTCCTTCTCCATCTCCATCTCCATCTCCCAGCTCCAGCTGGGAAATATCCCTGGACATCCCAAGCATCCCCTCCCAATGCCAGAGGGATGGATTTCCCTGTCTCATGTCTGTGAAAAGGATTTAGGGAATGATTTGGGTTGGAAGGGGATATTTTGGATAATTTATTCCTATTTTCTTGGGGTTTTTTTATAATTTACTCTTATTTTCTTGGGTTTTTTTTTTTTATAATTTATTTCTATTTTCTTGGGGTTTTTTTTGATAATTTATTCCTATTTTCTTGGGGTTTTTTTATAATTTATTCTTATTTTCTTGGGGGGGTTTGGATAATTTATTCTCATTTTCCTGTGTTTTTTTAATAATTTATTCTTATTTTCTTAGGATTTTTTGGATAATTTACTCTTATTTTCTTGGGGTTTTTTAAATAATTTATTCCTTTTTTTTTATTTTATTTTTTGGATAATTTATTCCTATTTTCTTGGGGTTTTCTGGATAATTTATTCCTATTTTCTACTCTACGAGTTATACAAAGGAATTACTCAAAGTTTTCCCGTTCTGGTATGGGGGAAAAAAAATAAGAAATCTGTGCTGGGACTAACGAGATTAATGAGAATTGGCTAAGCAAGAAAAAATCCAGAATATCTTGAAAAATATCTGTATTTTTTTGGGGAAAAAATAAAAAATAAAAAATAGAAAAGTTCCTTCTCTAATTGAGCTTTGTTTGCAAAATAATTCCAGGCTGGGAAGAGTAATCAACTCATGAATAAAAATACTGCTTTAGGATTAATTTTCATTTTATTGGTGGTAGCTTGGATTTTAGAAGCTACTAGAGGTTTTCAAATCATTTTTACTACAGAAGTACAAAATACCGACACGTCCTGAATCTGTGGGCTCTTGTTTTACGAAAGGCAATGGAGAGAACTGATCAAGAAAACTCATTTTTAAAAAATATAAATCTTGGCAGTTTGAGGCCAAAACAGCTGTGAAAGGCTCCTCTCCTTTCCCCCTCTTTTTCCCCAAGTATTTTATAAGATAATAGCTTAGAACTCCTTATTTTTAGAAGGTTCCAGAAGGCTCAGCTGAGACCCAGAGCTGTACAAGTGAATTATTGAGGCCGGTTTATCCCTGGCCACAGCAATTTGCAATCCCAGTTTCCAGCCAAGCTGATGAATATGATAATCCCAAATATGATAATTTTCTCTAATAAAAAGCACTTCAGGAATTTTTTTATTGTTTTATTTTTTATTTTTTTTTTGTCTCCTCTCAGAGCAGAATAAAGGATTTGCGTGGCAGCGAGGTTCTGGCTCCGTGTGCGTCTGGCGGCTGCCGAGCGCCCGTGGGTGCTGAGCCGGGCTCGGATGAATCACGGCACATTTCCCAATCCCTGCCCACATTTCCCAATCCCTGCCCACGTTTCCCAATCCCTGCCGTGCCTGGAAGAGCGGCAGCTCCGGGCAGACACGCACAGGGACAGCGGGATGTGCCCTCCATCCGCACGGCTCTGCGCTCACCTGGCGCAGGTGAGGCCGCGAGCAGCGGGCACAGCCCCAGGGATGCTCCTGGATGCTCCTGGATGATCCTGCCTGATCCTGCCTGATCCTGGCTGCTCCTGGATGCTCCTGGATGATCCTGCCTGATCCTGGCTGCTCCTGGATGCT